CCCTGAAGGAAGGGACACAGCTCCTGCATTGCAAGCAACTTGCACTCCTTACCATGCTCAGGGAAGAAAAGTTTTCCGAGTCTGTAAGGTTAGAGAAAAGGTAGAAGAACCTGCAGCACACCCAAGAAACTAATGAGAAAAGCAGACAGATATTCAAACTCCCCTTGCAATGAGAAAACTTCCTAGAAACTAGAGGAGACCTGTGCAATTTGTTACAATTCAGAGCAGCCCTTGCCTGTCTGCTCAGTTTCAGTCAGCTCAGTGGCTTCTCACCTCTTAACAAAGTTGATTCATGGAAGTATAGGATGGCAAGGGAAGATTGTTTATAAACAATTTTTATTTCTATTCTGTCTTATTGAGTGTTTTTTTCTTTCAGGAAAAAAAAATAATCCCTTGTCCTGTTTAATTACCAGTTCAAAGAAAGCCAGTCTTCTGGTGTTTAAGCCTTTTTCACCTTTGGGGAACTCATTTTAAGGAAAAGACCTAGAGATACCCACTTCCAAGCTCCAGCTGACTCAGTGGTCTCATCACACTTAGGCACCAGCATTCTGGATTTCTGTTTGGAGTGCAGCACGACACTTTGGGCCTGAAATGGCTGGGAAGCTCTGTGCTGACCATGGCCTGCTGTAGCCAGCGCCTTGCTCTAGCACATGAGTTAGCGACACAGGGAGGGAAATCAGTTTAAACAAACGTAGGAGCTGCTGCCCTGTGAGAGGCTGAGCAAGCCAAGGCAGCTGGCCACTCACCCATTCTGCAAGCTATTGACCTGAGGAGGAAAGGGAAGAGGGAACACAGTTAAGACTCTTCAGTCTGAAAGCTAAGACAACTGAAAGGTAGCTATGACAAAGGCCATAAAATCATGAATGGCACCAAAACGTGACAAAAGGACAAACGTTCACTGTTAAGTCATGAATGAGATGGCTCTAATTAAATTATCAGGAGAAAAGTTTAAGCAAACAAGTACTTTTTCCAAACAATGCCTATTTGCCTTGTGGCACTCAGTGCCAAACTCTGTTGTGCAGGCCTAAGCATCAATTGAGTTCAAAAAGTGACCAGAGAAATGTACAGGAAAAATCATCAAGTATTATCAAATACAGTCATGAAGGGGCCTCACGAAATGCTTTTGAGGTTGCCAAGCACAAGGAGAAAATACAAGAAAAATCACACCACACCTGTCCTGTCCCTAAGCACTCCTGCTGGCTATCAATGAACAAAGATACTGAACTGGAGGGACTTTTGATCTGAACCATATATAGCCATTTTTGTATGTTCCTATGTACTTGTATAATTCATTCTTGTAAAATGCTTGGATGAAGAATATTACATATCTGTACAATATATTAAAATTTTTCAGTCGTGCCACATGTCATAGTACAAACTAAAGCGTGTATCAGCTTTCCTATAGTGGTAAAGTTATTCAGGTTAAAATTTAATGAACTAGTCAGAATTTAAATGCCTAAAGGCTAATCACAATGAATTGGTAGTGTTAAATATAACCTTGAACACAGAACAATCTCATACGATGATTTCAGCATTGTCCCGGCTTAGATTATGGGTAACTCAAGTATGTACGACTTAGGCGTTAAGTTTTCAGTGAATTATTGCCTGTATATTGTATTGAGTTAAATTTATTATCAGACTAATTAAAGTGTTCTAAAATAATGCCGTTTCTAGAAAAATAAGCTCCCAAAGGAATTCCACTACTGAACATTAAGTCAATGGATTAACATTCAAAATAATATCCTGGTTTTCATCCAAGTCAAGGAAAAAAAGGTAATTTTATTGGAATTTTATACATGCAGAAATTCACCGTGTTTTTTTTAAATAAGTTATTTGTGTTCCATTACTTCTTACGGAGTTGGGGGGGGGAATCAGTCACCAAATGATCCACTACATTTCAAAGGATTTTACCATGCCAATAAGAACATAGATTCTGTTTCACTTACTGAACCCAATGGGAACTGCTAGTGATTTCAATGCAAATTATAACAGCATGTGATTTTTTTTTTTTTTAAAACACAGATGTTCATCACAACATTATGGTATAACCCCTTAAATAGCTACCCCGATGCAAACAGCAGTAAAGGAAATGTCCAAAATTTAACTAGATACAGCATGATCCTTTAAAGCTGACTGCTGCAAAATGCATGGGGCATTCTCTCTTCAGTACGAAATAGGAAACTCGGAAAACAGACATTTGAATCCTATTTGACAACTCAGCATCTTGTTCTTAAGCAAGCTTGCCTAGCTGTCTAAAAGTTAGAACCTTCTATTCTTAGAAGAATAGAATGTTCTTAATCTAATAGCTTGAATATCTCTTTTATGTCCTTCTTTTCATGTTCACATTATTTCCTAAGAGCAGTTAGCTGCTTTAGCTTTACAGAGACTTAACATGATTCTCAAGAAAAAATCCCAAAACGGCAGAAGGGTTCAAAGAAACGCTATTAAAATTCAAATGCTGTATGATACTCTTGCTATCCAGTTTTAGTTCTACATCTAGGAAGACTAAATCTAACCTGATCTTTAAAATATGTACTTCTGACTATTAAATTGTAATATGTAACCACTACTATTTGTATTCAGATTGATAACTTTTCATCAGATTTTTTTGTAGAATCCTCACCCACTGCAGCCTATCAGATCCCAAACCAGATGCACTCCCTGAATTATTTGATTTACCAGTAACTCTAATTTAAAAAAAAAAAAAAAAAGGCAAACAACCTAAACACAGAAAGTCAAGCCCTGTTCATCTTTATGGTAACATTGAGACAATCACAATAACTGATCATAGGTTCTAGATTACTTAAAATCACAAGATTCCAGGAGAACACAATTTGGCTAAGATACTCAGTTTTTTATTTTAAATGTGTATTAAAGCGAAAAGTACTGTATGATAAAATCTGTTTCTTCTGCTGCTACTTAGTGCATTTAACAAATAAAACTATTGAGCAATAACTCTTCCAGTAGCAATATTAATAAAACAAACCAAGACAATAATTTCCTACTCTACTCCCTCCACCTCTTTTGACATTTGTGTATTGGCAGCAGAAAATAAACTACTTTCTCCTTTGTTTTAAGCAACAGGTATTCTCCAATTTTAGAAGCTAATACTGAGTTAAGGAAAAACGGGACACAATCCTGACCCCAAACCCAGTCCACAGAAGCTCAGCAGGATAGCCTCACAAAACTAGAATCTGTAATGCCTCGGTAAGGGTTTCTTTTTTATAGCAGCTACACTACTCTGCTTTTACATTGGAATTATACTGGTTTTGCTAGAGGAGGACAATACTCACCATTTCCATGATAAAAGGTAAAGAATTCTTTTTCTTGGAACAGTATTTGTATTTTCACTTCCAGGACAGTTATCTTCCATTTAATAGCAAACAGGAGATCCTTCAGAATACTTCCAGTTAGGGCCATAAAAGAGGAGTAAAGAAAGTAAAAAACCACGCCACCCGCCCCCCCCCGCAATCTGGCTTCTGCTCTATTTTGGAGTATTAAGACTAGTTTTAGTTTCAGGAGTTATTGAAAGGAGAATTATGCTTTTTGCACTTAAGAAATAGTGGTACTAACCTGTTGCCACTCTTAAGGCCAAATATGAATCCATTTTATTGAAGAAGATACTATGTAATATTTTCCCTTCGTTGTTGGACCACATTTTTGAGGTCTCAGCTATTTCAAGTAAAAATTAAAAAGATCTCATATGGTATTGTAGCGGATCTCTTTTATTTAAGTAAACGGGCATTAGTTGCATGAAAGCCCATGCATATGCTTACCCTTAGATAATACAGCAACCCCACTAGCTTTAACAAAAGCCCTCCTATAGTTAACATAAATACATCTTCCATGATCAGGGCTTTGTTATTGCTACTACCTAAACCAACTCGGGGTCCATGTATATCTAGTGCAGCAGTCTACTTTTGATTATTACTATCAGCATGTGAAAAAGGTGAACACTTGGTACATTGTTAGAAAAAAAATCTATGCATTAGAAGAAATAAAATCTCATAGGAAAAAATAGCTTACTTGTTATATACACTTCAGTTTATCAGGTTAGCTTTGTACTTCCATTTTTCATCCTAAACAAGTATCATTCTTATGCTCCCGCCATTAAAAAACCCCACATAAACCAAAAAACTTACTAAACTAGCCCAGTCAGAGATTGGGTTTATTTCAGTGAGGTATCTGTAAGTTTCCCCTCTCCCTGAAACTTTCTAAAATCTGGATCTGTTCTGAACATTTGAAACTAGTGACAAACAACTATTTAAAACTATTTTCCAAAACACAGTAGAAGCATCTTATTACTGTAGAACCAGAAGGGCTTCTGGAGAGGTTTCCTTCTAGAAAGGTCTTGGGCAACTGGTGAACAGACAGCAGGCTGGTTTTCAGTACAGGCAGTAAGAGATGTGATGGAAACAGCTCGCTCTAGAACACCTATATAACATTGGTTCATGAAAACGTTGATGAAAAAGCTTCAGCTTTTGTCTCAAAGTGAGGGAAAGCCTCTTCAACAATACACCACTCTCAAACCTCAACAAACCAAGTGCTAGCTCTTGTCAAAATGACAAGAGCGTGCTGCTACCACACACTCAACAGCAACGTCCCGCTCAGCAACAAGGCCACAAATAATAGTCCCACCTAATCTCCTAACAAAGAGAAAAGCTACGGTACCCTTCACCCTTTGTCTGCAGACACTCTCCGAAAACACAGACAACACAAGAGCTGACCCGTGAAAGGCGGGAGGGGGCGAGCCCCCAGAAAGCCCCTTAGACCGCGCCGGTGCCGGCTGTGAGAGGGCGGCGAGGGCGGGTGTGGCCTTTCCCCGCCCCTTCCCACTTGGGGCTACTTAAGGAGAAGATTTTTTTGGGAGAGGAACTGCCTTTCTTCACCTTTAAAAAAAAAAAAGAAAAAAAGAAAAAAAAAAAAGAGGACTGTCTGATGTTTGTTTTCTCAGAAAAGTTCGTATTGTTTTTGTTTTAAAGTCCTCGTTTATTTTTAAGTGTGTGGGCGCTGCCTCTGCTTCGGTGAATGATGGTGAGTGGAGGAGGAGGGACGAAAGGGGAGCCGTGGTCGGCACGGTGGGAAGCGGGGTGAAGGGGTGTTCTTCAACGCTGAGCCGTGGGGCGGCTTTCTGCTGGGGGCCGTGGTGGCTTGCTCGGGTCCTCCCGCGGGGAGCGGAGGTGAGAGTTGAGCCTTAGCTTTTTTTGCTTGTTCTTAGGGTGAGGACCGGGGATGCCCACAGCCGCGGTAGCGTCGCCTTGTTACGCAGTGAGGGGTGCGCCGCTGCCTGGGCTGAACCCCTGAGGGTTACTGTCATTTTTAATGCTTTGAAGGTTTTAAAGTTTTAAGAGGAGGTGCGGGATTAAAGTCAGGGAGGGAATAGGGCAAGTAAAAAGCCTGGGGCTTTTGTGGGGCAAAGTGTCATGGCTCGCAGCCGTCGGCGCCATGGTCTGGTGAGGACTCCGCAACAAGAGGCGCTTCACACTATGAGCGGCCATTTTG